AACCTGTGCCCCCTTGATTTTTGAACAGCCACGAAATCCTTACCTAAGACACCCTGCAGTACATGCAAAACTCAGAATATCTACAAAAGAAGACACCCTCAGTGTACCTTCATTTCCAGTCGTGTACACAGATGGGTCAAAGTTTAAACGAAGAAGTAGGATGCGCGTTCTTTGCACTCCTCTCAGAACAAGATACAACAGAATGGAAAGGACACACCTAAGGAACAACAACAGCGTTTTCCAAGCTGAGCTTTTTCAGCCATAAAACACGCTATTCTATGGTCTCATCAAAGCATCTAACATATGTTACCATCTACAGTGATAGCCAAGCGGCAATTAAAGCTGTCAATGATGCAAGAAACACAAAAAAAGAAACAATCATCAATAGTGCAAGATATCTACGATTTATTATCACAGCGCAAGAGAACATCTATAAAAATAAAGTGGGTAAAAGCGCATGCTGGACAAGCCCAAAATGAAAGGGCAGATGCGCTTGCTAAAAAATGCAGCTCAAGACCTATCTCTACCTCCAATCAATGTCCCATTCCCTAAATCGTATGTGAAACATATGTTGAAAAAAAATTACATTAAAAAAATGGCAAACTGAATGGGAAAATGCAGAAGTAGGTAGAAGGCTTTTCAACTTCTACAAGAAACCCACATATGATCCAATCTCTTATAACTTCTTCATCAACATATTCTTATCTGGACATGGTCCTTTCCCCACGTACTACTTTGCACGAAATTTGAGCGAATCAGACAAGTGCGTATGTGGGGAAAAGGGAGACCCAGAGCACTATATTTTCAAGTGCCAGCTCACAAAAGAGCTACACTGCAAAGGAAGGTCACAAATTACGCCTGAGTACATTAAATGCATGCTAACGATACCTCATTTACAACAAAAGGTTTCCTTGATTATGAAGAAACTTTTTGCATATAAAAAGAAAGACATATGTCAAGATGCTATCGCATCTGTATAAATAACTCTTATTCTACAACTTGCAAAAATAATGCAAGATTTCAGAAATATTGCAAGTGTCTGAAAACAGGCTAAATATGGTAATAAATAGTTTTTATAAAATAGTTACATTAAGAATTTGGACAGTATTAGTGTAATAATTAAATCATTAATTAAAATATAATGTAAATAATATACGACTCTATTAGATATATTAGTGTAAATGTAAGTATTATGTGATTTTCTAATGTATATTTTCTGTATTTATGATACATTAATTTACAAAAATAATAATGTAAGACTTCAGTGCTGATGCATTTGTGTGTAACAAGTTAAAAAAATGAAAGGAAATGTATTAATAAGAGAATTCGCCTTAGTAATTCAACTAAGTATGATAAAATGCACAAAAAAAAAAAAAAAAAATCTTCAATTAGCTCCTTAAAATGATGTTTATTTTAATTCGATGTAACTAGATATACTAATGTAATATTATTGTTTGTATGAAGTACAATGTACAATGAAAGTTTGTATGTATGTTCGAAGTAATTATGTTATTTCAATCTGCCATAATCCAACTTTTGTTGATAGGTTAATTTCTTTGCAATAATTGTATACTATGTCTTTGTAATTGTATATTCAATACGTAAGTCTAATATTAATGTAAAATTTACTATGTAAATGTCTTGGTAGGCTAGCATCCGATGCGGGCCAACTAAAAGCCCAGCGGGGTACAGTAGTGCGGCGGAGCAACACCTGTAAAAGTCACTGACGAAGTTCTGGTGCTCCGTCCACTTTTCCCTGTCCCTGTCCTGCCTTTAATATTGGGTAAAGTTTTTGGATTGTTACATATTACCAGATATTTCAAATGCTGCAAAGCCAAAAATATCATGGATTGAGGTCTAGGGATAAGGGAGGTAATACATCATGAAAAGTCCACCTGATGACACATTCTTTTGTAAAATAACTTCTAAGAGCATTCCTAACACACTGTGCAATGTGTGCAGAAGGTTCATCTTGCATAGAGATTTTGCGTGCAAGGTACTAACATGCTTGCAGTGTCCAAGCAATTTCATTCTCTAACAGGGATGCATATCGCTGCCCAGTGATCAAGCATGTCACTGGACCATTAGAAATTAAATTCTCGAAGAAATACGAGCCGAGAATAAATTATGCAGAAAATCCACACCATACCATCTTTTGGTTAATGCAACAGAACCTCTAAAATAGGGCATGGATATTCAGGTTCTCAAATTTGGCAGCTGTGAGTCTACATTGCACTTCCAAATAAAAATATGCTTCATCTGCCCAGAGGATATTTGAAGGCATTCTGAATTGAGTTGAAAGCTACCAAGAAACCGAAGTGAGAACCGGAGCTGAGTATTAAAATCATCTGGAAGCAGCTGCTGCAGCAGTGAAAGTTTGGAAGGATAAAATTGGAGTATATTCTGCAAAATAAATGGACAATTGAAAGTAGCCTATCAAATGCCTCTGTTACACCCTGGACAGTGGTGCTAGCCTGAAAGTTTGCATATGTGTCTGCTACCACCTGAAGAGCAACATCCCCTACTGCTTCTGCAGAAATTCCAGGACAAACAGAAAATTATTTCTGTTTCTTCAAATTTCATTATACGTATAAGTTTCCAAAGGTTTTTAACATTCCACTGTACCTCTTCAAATCCCCTTCAAAGTCTGAAATTTTCATACAGCAATCAATTACTGTGGAATTACTGTTTTGGTAAAACAATTTTACTAACCAAACGCAATTTCATAAACTTAGCATCATCATAAGCAGCAAGTAGATTGAAGATAAAATCTCAAATTGAATCAAAATCTCTGTGAATGTTTCTAGGTTTTATAACAGCTGATGCATGACCTCGACAAATTTTATTATATTTAAGATTTATATTTTTATTTCAGGTTTTCAAAATAAAATGCCCTCTAGTGGCACTATTAGTAGCTGTTTTTTTTTTCTCCCTAGAAGACACTTCCATCCCTCCATTAAAGTCTGCCATAAAATTTAATGATTTCCTGATAACTGGTTTCACTTGTAGGCAACTTTGAAATAGGTTTTTTTAAAAAAAATTCTGGACACCCTGTATTTTACGTTAGAATCCTATGGATAGTTGAATAACATGGATCATGCATTATAAAACAAATTTAAGTCAGTTCTTTTTTTAAGATGTGATGCCGCAAAACACATTAAACCTCCAAGAAATAGCTACGGTTTTTCATATTTCAAGGTTGGCAGTCATGATATAATTTCATATTGTGCCCATAGTTGGTTTGGTAGCTCAGTGCTGTGGGCCTGCTGTCAAAATTAATATATATAACCTTTCAAGTATGATATGCAAATTATTTGAATGCATTCAAATAGAAATGTGATACTTTATTATTAAATGTCTTCAAGACTAATATTGAATGGTGATTTACATGTTTAAGAAAAGCTGCAAGAATGAGCCAGAAAAGTTGCTTTATGTAACAACCTCTGGAAAAGAGATTGAGTTTTTGTAGACAGCAGTGTCATCTATCAGCTGTTGCTTTGTTATCTGATTAGCTTATTTTATAGTTTTGAAAACTGGTGGCATGCTGTGGATATATGGCCTAATAAATCAGCATATGCCATTATATGTGCTTTGTTTTTTTTTTTTTTTCCTTGTATATTTATTGAACATGGACCTTTTTATTCATGTTTATTAGCTTTTTGCTTGTCTCAAAATTTTATTGTATTTGAAAACAAATCAGAATATGACTTTATAAATTTTAATAGTTTTGCCTGTCAAGTTATAACATTGAGGCTCTAATTAATAAAATTCGTGAATGTTTATATTTTACAGTTGTTTTCCATGATTATTAGCAGTGATATCACAGAGTTAATGAAAATATTCAGAAAATATTGTTGAGCTTCTGAGAAATTAAAAAATATTCCGTAAAAAATTTTAATTAATAAATTCTAAATATAGTAAAACTTTTGTAAGAAGACTGCTCACAGTTCCAGAAATTTTAGTCTTCTGTGAAATTGGTTGTACTAAAGAACTTAAGTATCAATAATTTTAGCGGTTTCATTTAATGATTGATGGTCCCAGAAATATTGTTTTCAAAAATGCTCATCTTTTCAGTTGGTTGCTTAAACTACTTTTGCAGATAATTGCCCGCTCTGATTATGTAGGGGAATAGTTTTAAGTATTCGTATCGTATAATGTGGTTGTGCATTGTATTGGCAATTGCAGTTTAGAAGTCACCTTTTAAAATATTGGCCAAGTATGAAATTTTCATGTTTGAAAGGATGGGGGGGGGAACCCATTGGGCATCCTGATTTGATCAGTTTTGACTAAGTGAGCTTCCAGTCTAATACATGCTGGTTTGATTTATGCCCGGTACAGTGATACTTCATACCTTGTTCTGATGTGGCTTTACATTGTCTCATTTTAATGTGTCAAAAATATCATGCATGTGTAAGCATTTTTTTCCTTGGTTATTCGTCATATATCTAATTTCTTCACCTTCAAGAACACCTGACAAATTACTAAACTAAAGAAAGCTGTATTATGGAAAAATTCTAAAATATTTCATTGTATGGATGTTTTTCTTAACTTAATACACTTCATTCACCAAATGTGATAGTGCTTAGTTGCCTGATCATGTTATCTTTTACACATTTAAATTTTACTTGATCTTATGTTTCTGACATTGACAAAAATCAGTTATCAGCCTATATTTTGCAGTTGTGGAGCCAGTTAGTTGGATTAAAGGTATTCCATCTTAGATTTCAATATTAGCATCTATAAACTTACCAATGGGTTGTGTATAAAAAGTAGGAATCGGTAATTAATTGTGTAAACTGTTGCTGCGTAAGCAGTAGGAATATGCTACAGTGGTTTTGTTTTCTAAATATAGTGTGCACGTTCTTTGAAATATTACATTTATAATATCATGGAGTTTTTAATCTATTTTATATTTGTATGTATAGAAATATGTAAATTTAATTGTAGTTCCTAAATTTGTCAAAAATTTTTTATGTAAGATATTACTGTGTATTTTTTAGGTGTTGGACAAGTTGTTCTTCAAATGGCAGCTACAACACCATGTAAGAAATGTATTGGAATAGAAAAAGCTGATGTGCCTGCAAAGTATGCTGAGGTATGTATTCAATGATTCATATGTGTTATATTTCTTTTCCTTTTTTCCCAATATATGGAAAAGGAATCAAAGAAAACTCAGGATCAGGGTGATATCTAAAGAAGTATTTCAAATGATTGCGCATTTCGTTATCATTTTACCCCTATTTTGTGCATGCTCTGGGAAACTTAAGTGGCATTATGATAGACACCTTCCTTATATGTACATGATCTTAGCTTGAGATAAGTTTTTGAAAGCCCACCTCGTAAAATGTGACCTGAACTGTTGCAGCACTTTTTTTTTTTTATATTGTCATTCTCATCAAGGTGGCCCTTAATACCAGGAAGAATACCAGAATAACTGTATTAGGTATGATTCCAAAGTACTGTATCCAGAATACACCATGAGCTTGAATTTTCTTGTTAATACCAGTCACGATTCTTTCTTTCTGTACCATATATTGATTAAGATGCTATATAGGAGTCATTTCTTATCATCTCTGGCAAGGTATTTCAGAAGTAAATTGCAAATGGCACTTATTTACAGGAATGGTGCTGTATTTGCACAATTCTTCATCATGCAGCTATGAGAAAAAGGGCTTCCAAAACCCATTATGTGCAATAGTTATGAAGCATTTTGGATGGTATTGTAAGTGATACCCTCAAGCCAAGCTTATTCAGATTAATTCAGTTGCCTGTTCTCAAAACTTACATTTATCAATTCTAGTCCAGAAAGCATTCATAAAATGCGACTCCATTAGGCAATGTAAGATTTACATGCAATTTTACTAAAACTTTAATAAAGTAATGGATGATGTCTTTGATTAGCGATGAATTCATTTTGATGTAATAAGATCATAATATGTCATTTATGTCAATAAATATATTGCATCAGAAAAATATTGACTGTCAAGTAATTATTTTTTCTCCCCCTGATATAAACTATTCTAGGGACCTATGAGTAAAGAGGTGTCTCTGTCAATGTGCAAAAATAAGATGTTGCTAATGCAAACTGTAAACAGTGTTTTTATTTCCAAATCAAATTTAAAGTGATAACGTTTTAAACATTTTTTGAGACATGCTGGAAAATTATAAGTGTGTAATAAATCAGTATTTTTTGATATTATATGTAATTCTAAAAAAAGAAAGCTAGTTCTATTAAAGTATCCGATAATACAAAGTAATGTGAGAATTGAAAGTTATAATATGTCATATTATGGTGTTGGATAAGCATTTATCAAAATTATAGGGTCAAAACTGAAAGTTAGTATTGACTGCAAGTGGCATATATGTTCCAGATTAACAATCCAACATTTAAAATGTTTTTGTAACAAATGTTATGTCCCATGGATTATTTTATTGTGTGATATTTATGATTGTATAAAGTTCATGTTATTTATAGTATTAAGAAAATTCGGTACTGTTCTGTCATGAGGACTGAATCCAGACATGTATGTATGGATGTATGTGTTCATGCATGTATGTATATATATAATGCTTGAATGTATGTGTGGGTATACCTATATACATATATGCACATACATACACACACTTATACATTTTTGAATAAAGTCCTAATAACAGAACATTCTCATTTCAGAATTCTGCCTTATTGTTTTGTTTTAAAGCTACTTCAGTAAGTGAACTTTGTTCCAGATCTTGTGTGTGTTTTAATATATGAATTGTTTTTACTCAGTGCAAAAGCTAAATTGATAAATTTAGGTTTTGTTATGCCTTGTAGAAAGTCATGAAAAATTTGCATTTGCACTGTTGGGAAAATATAACTTAATTTTCATTAATGCCATACATTATGAGCTTCATACGTGTTGTTGATGTAATTGTTAGTGTTAAAAACATAATCAGAAGTTGTAGTTTTACTGCTTTACTAATTTCAGTTTGTCTAATAATTTATAGGAGATGGACAAGACATTTAGGTTTTGGATGAAGTGGTATGGTAAAAGATATGGAGAATATGTTCTTATTAAGGGAGATTTTCTATCAGAAGATCACAGAGAAACATTGTTAAATTCAACGTAAGTTCCTCTAAAGTGAATAAAATGCAATTTTTTTTTTGAATGCATGGAAAGTTGGAGTATTTAGAATATAACAAATAACCTGATCAACAAATGATGACCTTGAGAGTACAGAAAATGATGAAGTTTTTGCAAACTCTGGAGGGCAATGTATGGTGACATGTAATAATGGTTATGAACACAAGGTTAGAATACCTAACGCAATTGCTGTTAATATAGCATTATCTTTAAAAATCTCCAACATAAGCATCAAAATTTCATGATGGTATGAGATTTTGCTTGATAAAAAGTATTGTCTTTAGACTGCACGTATGAAGCACTTTTATTCACACTGTACAGAAATATTATCTTTCAAGTAGTAGAACAGTAGGCTAGATGAAATAGCAAAAGTTGAGCTTAAATTGAAAAAGTCAACTGAAGGAGATAAAGTTTTAATTACAGATAGGTGCTACAGATGTGCGGTATGTTCATTGCAGTCGTATGGTCGCTGCATATGGTCAGTAGCAGGGACAGCAATTTAATGCATAGTAATCAGCTGAGAGGTTTTGTACTTTTCTCTCATAATACTTTATATTAAGCCACTTAGTGGACAGGCATTATTTTGTAAGACCAAGGATTTTACAAGACATAGAGTCAGAGGTCCTTTGATGTTAGAGCAGATGAGCATGAACGTCATAAAAACAGAAGACAGCAGCATTAACAAAATTATCTTAAAGTAGTTGGTTTGCACAGATGGCCATGTGAAGTCGCTTATCATCCTGTATTCAAAGGGCAGTTTTCGATGTTATGCGTCCACAAATTTGTAATGATGCTCATGCAGTATTCATATTTTGTTTAAGGATCTAAGAATACGCACTGTGTAAATTGTTCATGGTTTTTGGAAAACTAGGGACACTGGAGAAATTCAGCTGCATCTTCTAGCCATACAATCACTTTGGCATCATGCACTGACACCTGCAACAAATAACTGGGATTGATGCTGGAGCTATAAAAATATTCCTTCTTGTGCAGTTGTTCCGTGAAAATTTGCCGAATGCTTCCCCAGAATTGCAGTCTTTCATGTAACACAACTTACTATTTCTTTTGTGAATGCCTGATTTTTCTTTTCTGTGAAAATTGAGAAAATATGCAGAATTCTTGTTTTGTTCTACTTGACAGATGCTTTTATACCCTAGATATGGTTCTCACTGTTATGGCTGTTCTGTGGTAGGCAACTGAGTACTCATTTGCTGTTATTTAAAACAAATATATCTGGTGTTTTTTTCCACTAATATCTTTGTTGTATAACTTACTGTCCCAGCACCTTATGCTATTTTTATCTTGTAGAGTTCTCATTGATTGTGAAATCCCAGTATTTGCATTAGAAATATTCTAGGTATGGTTACACTAATTATAAGTATGATATGCATAATTAGCCTTTTTTTCATATATTGCAAGTGCATGTTGCCTTGTGTTATTCTCAAGAAACTGGAATAGCTTCCATGTTCTGAGATTTCTACTGGCTGGTCAAGTTGAATTACTGAGATCTTAAAGTGTATGAGTCAGTGTTTGGCCTAAATTCTGTCTCCCCATAATTGAGATCTGGAAATCCAGATTATAATGTCATATAAAACTTTGCCTACAATATATACAATTTGCAGATCCAGTTATATTTCCATAAACTTCTATTTTTTATTTCTTGCTCTTGTAATTATCAGATCACTGTTTTGAACTGTGAAATATTAAAACCACCCTTCGTGGGGAAGTGTGTGGCTGTTGGCATATGCTTCTTCATATATTCCACTGCGAGCACTTGTTTACAATTCCAATCACAGTGCATGCTTTCCTCTTTCCCACAATTTATTTGAAAATGTATTTAGCAGTGGTAGCTAGAAGAAGGTGCAATTCTAACCTTTGGTTACAGAAGGAACTGGGAACATTTACGAGTTCAGTGTTTGAAAACATATATTGTCAGCTTCCAATGTAAATAATGTAAATAAATAAAATTTGGGGTATGGGACTTGGAGATCCATTTATTTTCCAATACTTCAATATTTTGATTTAATGCTCTAACACTTATCAGTTTACTATTTCGAACTGTGGAATATTAAGCATTCCCCTTTTGAGGAAGTATATCTGCAGTCAGTGGTTGTGAAAATAAAGGCTGCATCCTCATTTTCGTGGACAGGATGTGAATGTGTATTATATGTATGTTATGGTAGTTTTTTTTTTCAACTTCCAGGCTAGTTTAACATTTTTCTAGTAAAAATTTTTCTATTTTATTTTGTAAAATGAATAACTTTTAACAGTAGAATTTTTTATTTTTGTCCTAATTATTTTATAATTATTTATATACATATGTGATTAAAACAAACTCAGTAATAATGACCAGCAGGAATTTTGATGGGGTAGAAGTTTTGATCCCTAATGAATAGGAAATTGGAGGCGAGGCAGATAAAATCTTCATTTTTATTTCAGCAAAAATGTTGTGGCCGCAAACAAGTTAGCACAGCGAATGTGCCTATTCCAAAAAGTTTACATTTTTGTTAAATTTGCACTAAGATAGAAGGAGCAGACAGACAGCAGTCCAGCTAGGCCAAAGCATTGCAGGCAACTGGCATGTTTAGGGTGAAATCTTAATTCAGACTAAGGTAGTTTTTGTTCTCAATACATTTTGATTGGATAGTTAATGCTTCTTAAAATTATTATTGGCTGCTTGAGTTTTAGTTTCATTTACATCATTAGAATTACGTAAGAGTTATATGACATAGATTAGTCTCAAAATGACGCATTGCAAATAGAGGTTACAATTTTTAAAATTGAGAAGGGAAATTTATCATTAATTTATCTAATTGTAAATTTATCTAATTTAATCTTTTAGATATTCCTTATTTTTCTTACACACACACACACACACACACACACATATATATAAGTAAATCAGCTTTGTAATTTGTTTAGTAATTGCCTTTTACTACCTCATTTTTAATTTGGGTATTTCCTCTGTGTATTCTAAAAGTAGTAATAACTTTTCTGGACTGTGCCATTTCTAGATTAATCTTTGTCACATGGCATGCATAACGCTGATGACAAAGCTAATTTAGAACTTGGACTCAAAATTTTGAGAACTGAAGCCTTTCTAACCTAAACCAAAACCTTCTCTTGTTGAGCTACATAATAGAGTGAATACTGGATAATTTGTGCACTTTAGCTTCAACTCTCTTGCAGTCAAGTGGCTACTTCACTGCCTTAGCTTTGCCGTGCTACTAACTATAGTATATGCAAAATGTCATACTCTGTATAAAATTCTGGGGTGCTTATTGCACCTGTGATCGTGTGTAACGAAAAATGTATTTTCAATAATTACGTGTCCATCAATAAAAAATATATTCAATTCGGTCATGTCTGTCTGCAAGTCTCTCCTTTGAGTGTCATTTTTCTAACTATGCAATAAAGTCTTTCCAATTTATACTGTGGAGAACCATCATAAATCCATTGTAGGTTATTCCAAGTCATCTTGTGGTATATATATATATATATAGTGTGGTATATATATATAGAGAGAGAGAGCGAGAGAGAAGCATGTAGGCATATAATTTGGTGATGTGATTGCTGTTTAATTTCAGGAAGAATTGCACTTGAAAGTGTCATTCTTTTCTTTTAGCACTGCTATTTTACAATTAGCGTAGAACTGTTTTAGCTATTGAGACGATTTAATAACATCAGATTAGTTTGTAGCAAAGAGTACCAAAGCATTTAACAGACAAAAAAGAAATGGTGTTTGTAAAAATTTTGTAAAAATTTGGGGGCCTGAAACCTGTATGTTTCTCAAGCAGTTAAAAGAAAGAAAAGGAAAGAATTCTTTTAGGTGTTGAGAGATATAAAGAATATCAATTCATTATTAGAGATCATTAAAAGTTATTAAAAATTTAATGGTAGGAATGACATTCGATAAATGATTTCACATTCTCTTTTCACTGCCATGCATGCATCTATGACAGTTGTATTACATAAGAAGCATAACTCAGTGAAAATTTTCATTCTGAATTTAAATCCTTTAGATAGATAAATTATAAATATTTAAAAAAAATTTTAGGACCTAGTATGTCAGCTGATTAAAAAGAGATATACTTTAAATATATGCATTTTCCTGTTCAAAGAAAAAAGGCTTAGCAAGAGACAGCACAAAACAATATCAGTGTTTCAAAATGGAGTAATCTTTATATTAGTTACATAGATAAGGGAAATTATAACTTATTCCATTTCCTTGCAGTAACTTCTGTCTTCCTGTTTTTCATTCTTTATTTCTATTTTCAGTTAGGGTAGGCCTTTTTTGTTGGCATTAGAAGACAATCCTAGATTCTGCACACTTCTCTGTTCTTACTTCTTTTGCTGCTTTGTACTTAAAGTATATCCAAAGAAGAAAAAAATATACAATAGTTGGCTGCTTAAGCACCATTTTACAATTTCTTCGATCATCTGAGGGTATTTTGTATAATTTTTATTCATCATCATCGGAAAAATATATCTGAATAAGAATGGAGGTTACAAAGTATTTATTGAAAGGTGGGTTCTGCTTGTCGAAGTAGAACTTTTGACCTTAAACTCTAAATTTTCTTAAAAAAAAAGGGGGATCTACTTATATAAAAATGCATGATGGTAAATTAGATGCTAATATTTTATAACACAATCTAAAAAAAAAATTTAAATGTAGAGTTTTTGAATGCTAATAGTAAAATTTCTAACAAAGTATAGTAGAAATTTAATATTTTGTAAAATCTGTAAAATAGCACTGCATCACTAGTATAATTAGATTTATATATTTCAATTTCCAGTTTGCATTGATATAGTTAATTTTTCTTACCACAAAAATTGCTTATAATTTATTTTTCAATACCTTTAACATGAATATATATATCATATGCAGCCATATGAATTTTGAGTTTGCCCATTTGTATATTTTTTGTTATTTTATGCTTGTGTTAGTTAATGTTGTTTTGGTCTGTTTCAATTAAAAAGTG